CCCCAATGGGGAATCCCCATGAACCTGGGTAGCTTTTCATCACCGAAAAAGTTGCCCACACAGCTGTCCTCTAGGTAAATCTCCTCCGCGGTCAAGTCGGTAACATCGGCATAGCATCCACCAGAATCAATATGTTGTCTTACAGAACGTGAATCCTCTTCACCCTCGTCATTGGTTATTATAGACCACTCATTGAGTTACTGGATTAATATTGACCTACTGAGCATGTTACGGATCTCGACCTTCCCGTGGTCGCCGAATGACTCGCGATAAGCTTGGACATATCTAAGGTTGTCTACCCTCTCAAACCTCAGCTTCGAATGCAGCATAGCAGGCACTAAGCAGTCGGGAGCGTGCTATAACCTACGGGAAAGCATTGAAAGTAAACGAAATTTGCAGCACACAGCGAGATGAGTGGTCGAAGAATTCATAGCATTAATTGCTTAGTATAAACTATTAACAATGAGTATCATGTAGTCTGCATAATGTAGACCCGAAGTAACAACTCATAACCTAGTAGGATATATCAGTATCGTAGAGCTAGTATTGTTAATATGAGTCGTCTGGGAGGTCCAGGTTTGTTACGTCGTAACATACGGTCAGTACTCCTGGAGTACTGAACGACAGAGGAGGTATCATGATAGGCACTGCATGAATCACGAATTATATCCCCAGGCTGGACAATTACGAGATGGCTTATCCAGGGGTGTATAGCGAGGAAGGGACTAATTCGGCACCCCTCCAGAAACCCACAGAAAAGCTGCATATCTCAGCAATCTAGAGAAGCACATTGGGAAGCACTGGAAGAAATGATAATCGCATTGCGCGCAGCTCCCGAAGAAATGAAGAATACATCGTTTTGTAAGCCGTAAGGGTACGTCGCGTAGATGTTGTGAGGATGGAGATTGCTCGGAAATGAATCTGCGTCGTAGGATGTCCTTTGAAGCCATGGAATGGCCGGACCTGCTAGCTCACGTCGGGAGCGGTGAGCCAGTCATTCGTGCTGCCGGGAAATACGAGAACGGGAGAGGTAAGAGTAGGATCCTGCTTTTAGCGATGACTTGCTATGCAGTGTCGCACATGATGGTAATGTACTCGTTGGCTGTCAGTGTTCATGCTCGCTTGGACTCGTATGCCGCTCAATCTGGAGGAGCGTCTGGGATGCTCCATCGGGATGAAGCTGAGGTGGATTTCTCGGCCAAAGTCTCATTTGTTGCTATTCGGATGCCACTGAGATTACTAAACTCAGACAGGAATGGCATGCGTTCTAACCATGCATGCTGATCAAAGCTCCGTTCAGTTTTCTGAGTATGTCGATAAGCTTTGCTTGAAATCACGTATGGTTGGATTTCATATTGCAACAATATTATTGTTTTCGAAATGAGATTTCGAAAACCATAAACCACTTACCTAATGTCCATCTAATGTCTCTTTACGTTTCTTTTCTGTTCGCTATGCTGTCTTTTATGGCGCTGACACACGCGGTGTTGAAGGACGTTGGTCTCGGGACCAATCGTCCGTATTCGCCAAGAATGAGAGTGGATATGTAAATGTGGAACTTCTCAATTCACTTTTGCGTAATTGTAGGACTCATCTGAAGGTATGCTCTGTTTTATTCAAGGCGATGTGGTTATTGGCTTTGAGCCTATCATTCCCGAATTTGGATCCTCTACGTTTGAATGATGTCTTTCGCTCTTTGAAAGGTTCGGAGCCGTTGGCCATTGCTTTTTAGGCGATGGTATTGTGGAAGTTGAGGACTGCGTCTACGATCGTAATTTGGGCGCGGCAAATGGCGTTGATGATGCGGAGTTTTCGAGCTTCGTCGATCATGTTGGATTTAGGACGATCCGACTTGACACATCCGTACTTAGTGCCAACGCTGGAACTCATGGTACCAACAATCGCTTGGTACTACCAAGCGATTGTGGTGGATACTTGCTGCAATGGTTATTTGGTTACTGTGTTCGCGTTGGCTCTCCCCAAGCAACAAATATGCTGTACAGGTGATGTCTGTGTTGTTTATGATTATTTATGCTATTATCATCTGCAATGTTTATCGCATCCGTGGCTGGCCCATTCTGATAGTCATTGCTTTTTGTATTATTGGCAATGTATTTCAGGGTGTTGTTTCACGTGAGCTAAATACTTACTAATCTATGGTTTTTCGAAAACCATAGATTTCGAAATGATTTTCCCCAATGGATTTCGTATGATTTTCTGAGTTTTTTGAGTATATCACATCTTCGGAAGACGTGCGGACTATCCTTGCGGGTCACGTCGAGCGCGTCTTCAGGTTTCACTACGAATGTGACGGTCATGATGGCTGCCATCAGATGGCAAGTAGTGAGTTTACCCTACGTGTTGACTACTCGTATTTTGATTCCTAACATATAAATTATATCACGACAGCATGGTTTAATTACCCTTCCTCCCGAACAACGCAACACCACGGAGTGCATCTCTCAGAAACACATGCTCTCATCTCTCATCATATACGCTCTCAATTCGAGTCTCTTGAGTCCTTTCCATTTGCCGCTCCGTAACTCGCTTATTATACCGCCGTGCAAAGTTGAGCTCAGTTGACTTGTGAGACTGTCTCTCCCTCTCGGCAAATGTCGATGACAACACTAAAGGCTCTTCCGCATCGTAAGTAGGCCTGAATTATCGATATGCAAAGAATGATAACCGTAACCAACCTTAAGTCGGCTGAAGAAGCTCCTTGTCCCTCATCTGGAAGCTCAATGGCATCCCATAAGTCATTTGGTCGAGCCGTTTGCGAGTCTTCAATGTACCTGATAACCTACAAATTACATTCGCTGTATAATATAAACCAACGATTAAGTGAACAATAATCGTTCACGGCTGTGTAGAGAAACATATACATGATCAACAACCATGTGTTGGTAACAATGAAGGATTCTGAGGAATTTTTTGGAGGTTCTTATTAGTTTCTGTACGCTCCTACCCCAATTCGTATATTAACTCTTATGGTTAGTGTGGAAACTCCTGAGCTCAGCTGAGGGAAGCGCGCATATATTCCTCCAACACTGGATCAAGGTTGGTGAGTTATAGTGAACAGAACAATTAACAATATAGTTAGACATAAACCAACAGACAAAGTCAGGAACATTATCATACTAGGAGGCTTTTTTCTGCAAGGAAAGTCTTGTAAATGAATAAACCAACGCTCATCGCACGCAAGGCAAAGTCGGGAACATTCTCATACAAAAAAGTTACCATCCTAGTTTGTTGAACATCTGCTGCATATGTGGCGGCACTGGTGCTATAATGTCTATTTGATCCCCACCGAAAGAATGCATGGAAATCTGTCTAGAACACACCTGAAAGATATAGGGAAGGAACGGCCTTTCAGTGACAAGTGTACAATTCAACAACCATACTCAGCGTCGACTCATCTAGTTAGAGCACTATGAGCCTCATACTATGGCCAACTACATGTGTTGGTGACAGTATGGGAATTTCGAGGCAACCTTGAGAAATTCTTGGTATACCTCTTCCGAATTTTCATAATTAGCTTTGGAAATTCCTGAGCCCAGCTGAGGAAAGCGAACATATGTTCCTACTCCAACACTTGAGTTATAGTAACTACAGCTGATGTCCAAACTAATTTCAAAGAGGACTTAACGTTCTTATTGTATATCACAACTTCGGGAAGTTGAACTTCCACTCACCATGCGTTTGCATATAAGCTCCTCGCCGAACATTTCTTTGCGTTGCAACATGTGTTTTTCGGGATATGCATCGTTCCACCGAATCGCTTCTTTTGAGTATCTACACGCATTAATAAAAGTTGCTATGAGAATATTAGCTCACACGTCATCACCCACAATGGGCGTTCTCAGTCCGAATGCACAGTGTGCCTGCAACTGATCTCGCCTGCCCGTATACCTATTCCCATTCAATACTGAACCCGTGGTTACTGATTACTTACGGCTCCAATTTCACCAAGGTTATTCCTCCAGCGAAAGGAGAAAACTTGAGGATTTCCCACTTCGTTATAGCAGAAAGCTCAGCCGTGTGGAAAGATGCTGGTTTCACATGATGACCCCTGATGATGCAGACACCAGTGTGGAGGGGGAAGGGTGGAATATGCGCATGGTTAACCACATGTAGTAGTGACAATATAAAAGTTCTGCGGAAATTTTGGGAGATTATTATTGGTATCTGTACATTTCTACCCTAATTCGTATATGAACTTCTATACTTATTGAACACACTCCCTAATTCAGCTAAGGAAAGCGACCATATATTTCAGAGGAAAGGAAGTACATTGGCAGAGCTTATCTCGCCCTGTGGTCAAAACTCATTGGTATGATATAAGTAGACAATTTAAAAGGCTAAAACTGATCCCTTGAACCAATGTCCATCGATGCGAGTCTAACTAGGCCGTGTTGTCGGCGTTGGACTTTAAACTCACACACACACACATATTTCAACCCTGGCTGCCAGAGGTAGCTCACTGTCGTACCAACATTTCTCACCTGTGAATCAGAGGTATATTTATAGTCCCACTGAATTGCCGTGGACCGAGCTGCACTCGACCCCATACCAACACCCAGTAAATACGATTCCAGAATGATCTGACAAGTATCGTGGTATGCTAATCGGTAGAATTACTAGTCATTGGACTCAACATGTGAGGAAGGCATTCTTAAATCCACGCTGGAATCGTCTCATCTCGAGGACAGCGGAGCGGAGCGTTCCACGATGTTCCACGCAATAACACATAATTGGTACACACCGCATGAGTTGTGTGATCATATCCCCACTGATAATATGGATTTATATTTAAAACTTCAATGAGAGCCTGCCCAGTTGTGATGTGCCATTCTTATAACACAAGTATTGTTCCTTATCTATTTGTCCCCATTATTGCTTAGCTCACACAATTAGCTGTAGCCTCGTCGATAATAACAGTTTCTCTTACCCACCCCCTGATATTATTCCTGATGGGTTCTGAAGTGTCACACCAGTCCCACTCACCTAGCCCCGATACGATCCCGCGCCATAGTAGCCGCTGATTTATGTCGTGCTAAGAGCTGTACGCCAGCCGTAGCAGTGTCCAGTCGGTGAATGAGTATTGGCACTTCCGAACTAGAGGAAGATGTGAATGCACGCAGGTGACGTTGGAGACTGAGAATAATAGTGTTCAACACTTTTCTACTACACTACTTCAACACTACTTCAATACTACTTCAACACTATATGTTGAAGTAGGAATATATGTTTTCTTTCCTCAGCAGCTGAACTCAGGAGTTTTTTGTGACAAGATAGAAAATTCTGAGGAGATTTCGAACTCGTGTGTAAACTAGTGAGGAAATTACTAAGGGAAGCCAACGCAAATCCCGAAACTCAGCCTAGTGGTGCAACGACAATACACTGCAAACATTGTAGTAGCCCGTGAATAATGTGAGTCTCACCTATATTTAATCTTCGGACCATCCGTGACCGATAAACCCCATGGTTTGTTAATCGCTATAAAATCAGCATCTCTGTAGAGGACCGCATCTTCTAATCGACTCACACCCAGAGCCTACAGTGTGATCAACCAAACCGTTACGGAAAATAATGTTTTCAACTTAGCCTTCAATTTTCGAAAGTCAACTTTGAGTAATATCAACATGATAACAATATGAATCGATTGACACCAACGTTTTAGAAGCGTTACGTAGTCTATAGTCGTACTAGTCTCAAATTGAAGAACTTAGCCATCTCGGAAATCTACATATGCATACATATTCTTCCGTTCGCACTGTACGAAGCGACAGACACTGGAGTATTTTCAGGGCAATTTAATATTTCCCCCTGTTTTTTCAATAACTTTCCCACTTTTTTTCGGAAAATTTCCCGAATTTTCAACTTTTTACCGACTAAATTTATAAATTACTCGAAACTTCAATAGTATCGCTAAACTTAACGAAATAGCTTTTGGCCACAGGAGCGAGCGGAGCGTAGTTACAGGTCGCCTAGCACGCATATATACGTACACGTTTGAAAATACTGTACTGTAGTATATACAAATACATTGGAGTTTCACGATGACCCGTTCAACGTGAAGTGGCGTATTACTCCATGTAAATTATAGGACGTATATGT